TTGTTGATACTGGGCTTTAATCTTGCGCCCTTTACGCTCAAAAGAACGTTATATGTGATATAAAGGAAGCTCTTCCTTTCTGTGGATGGCGTTCCAGTCTTTGTCACTTTTTCGCCGCCGTATTTGAATAGCTCGGCTCGGAATCCATCAGCTCCCTACAGCTTTCTTGTCTTTCAACTGCTTTTTTTTTCTTTAAGGACAGTGAAGTTAATGCGGTGACTACTCTTTGCACGTAAGAGTATGTGCTATATATTATATGTATATATATATATATATGTATGTATACTCATTAATGTTGTAAAAATCTTCTAATAGAATTGTGGTCGTTTCTAGCAATTTTTCTACAATACTACTGGAGTTGTTTCATTCGTGGAAGACCAACACTTTTCGCCCGGCATCAAAAGCATGTAGGCTCAACATTTCTGACTATGCTTCAATCTAAGGCTCCAAAGAGATTTTTAATTTGGAATTACCGCATGCAACCCCACACGGTAAATGGTGAGTAAGTCAGAGCAGCCACACTTCACCAAAAAAACTTTACAATTTTGCACAGACACATTGAAGAAACAAATATATATTTATAGATATGACATGCATATGTGTCAGTGTGTATGTATGCACATTTGATAAGTACCATTCGCGTCCAATCGCAAATACAGTTCGTGCCAACTAATTGAATAATAATGGTAAAGTACATTTCCCAGCTGCAATTGAGTTGTCAATCTAATCGGCATTTATCGATTGGTATGCAACGCTTACCGTTACAAGCATCTATGTATGTATGTATGTATGTGTGTGTACAAAGTTTACTTGTTACATTTATCGAATTTGTGCCAAAAAGGAAATAAGCGCACAAAAGCATAGCAAATTGTCAGCATACATACATTTATACAGATATAAAGGGTGGGCCATGAAGACCTGAGTACGTACATACATAGATCCACACTTTGCCGCGAATTGTGTACAGTTGAGCGTTATTTTTAGAACCACAAATTGGTATGCAAAGAGGTCAAGTTACCATGAATTCGTTTTGAATAAGAAGGTTTTTGTAGTTAGCATAGCCGCACCCTGTACTTATTTACAAACGAGTATATTCAAGCGCACTCACACTTAAGTCATGTACATTATATAGATCTCCAAATTTTCAAAATATTTAGCGACCAAATTGAAAATTAAATTAGAAAAATTTATTTGTAGATTCAACAAAACAGTTCAACAACAACACAGCAGCATAAAGTCACTGAAATTCCGAAACCAAATTCTATTTGGAACACAGATAGTGCTTTTTCGAGGAATGTATACATCTACCTTGTACAATTTCGTCATAGTGAAAGGGCGATTCAAGGTCGGACTATATACGGCCTCACCAAAGCCATAGACTAGGCTCTTTGTGCTCCCCCGCATAACATAACTATAATTTTGCGAACATTTCGCTCGATCTAATAAACTGTTGCAATTACTTTCAACCAAGTATGGGTCCACTTAAGCGTGAATCTCCGCAAGGTTGATGTCTCAAACGGTCATATTCTCGCGTAGGTAATTCTCCATGGTTTCTACACTCCACACTCAGGCGATTCCACTTTACCTGGGTCGTGAAGATGATATCTAAGGGGTAAGTTATTTTACTTAAAGTTAGTAACAGTTTGGTCTGCTCCTCAATAACTTGGTGGTTCGACCTACGGTGGAAGTGTTCCAGAACCACAAGTGTTCCTCCACTGCATATGCACTGCCTTAGACAACATTTCAAGGCGCTAAAAGGTCTTAGGCAGTCGATGGTTATAACATCGCCCGCGGCGCTAGCGCGAGCCAGCTCATCCATCTTTGCGTTACTCTCTAGATCCGTGTGTCCTGGGCCACAAGTAATATTCACACTGTTTTCCAGCAATCTCTGCTTGGAAAATAGGTTGTACTCACTGAATTTGAAGTCACCTTGGTTATTGGGTGGTCACAGAAAACCTCAACTGTGCATATCTTAACTGTTTTCGATAAACCCACTTTCCGCCCATTCTTCTCTGATAGGGAAGCAGTAGGCGGCATTTTTCCGGTAGACGGCTTCCCTTTCTCGGTGGCATTTTGCGTTTAGCCCGAGCTCTCATATACTGAATTCTGCCATATCCTTAATAATTGGTGTTAGCGCTGCTTTATGCATAGGTTGTATATTAATTGGCCTAATGTCAAAAAATGCTTCTAAGGCTTAAAGCTCCATATGTTAGTATGGGTCTAATGATATTTGCGTAAGTCCAATGCACCATGTTTGGTCGTAGTCCTCATTTTAGTGCTGATTCGGAGCGATTAACTGGCCCGACTCTCAACATGTTCTCTTCAACTTAGTTCTTGCATCAAGAATTACACCAAAATACTTAACAGAGACGGAGGAAATTATATTATAACCTCGAGGATCTCGTTTTATTTTGAGCTCTTTTTGAATTGCGGGTAGCGATATAAATCATTTTCCCCGCTAGATCCTTCCTCGCTCATGCTGAGTTGTTGGCGAGTGCTCTGAGAGCACAGGAGTGCAAGCGAAATATAAGCCTTCTGTTGTGGTTGCTTCTTCCATATAATTGTTGTCGCTGCACAAAGGCGGACGTGGATCTGAAGCGATATTAGGGCCTTCAGAAATACGCCGCCAAATAAGAAATTGGTGTCTTCCAACTACAACAATTTGGTCGACCTTTTTACGAGTCTTTCGGTACGATGAAAGCTAAATGGACCTACAAATTTTCCTTTGCAGGAATCTGGAATTGGCAAACAACCCCTCGCGCTTGCTATACCAAGTAGACAGGCTCTCATGATAAGTATTCTTGATCTCACCATTCTTCTCGGGCCTTCCAGGTGAATGCCTGCTCGGGTAGGTAATTAAGTAATTATTGATGTTAGTCATGCTACGATGAAGAAGCTTGTCAGACAGCTAGTTACACTATTTTCAATCTTTCATTACGAATAAACGGTAAAAACTGCTGCTTCCTTGAAAAACGACAAAATCAACGAATTGTCCCTCCTTAACCTCTCTCATTTATTAATCATTACGACCCAACTCCGTCTCTTTCCTACATACCTTTACAGCACATACACTTAACTGTTGTTTTTGTGTTATGTTTTGTGCGTTTTGTTGTTGTTTGTTTTCTTTTGAAACATTCAATACCGTAAAATTAACAACTGATTGTTGTTATTGTTCTTGTTATATATATATTATTTTTCTTTTTTCGTAATTTTCGGTTCATACTCATTGCCAATTGTTCTATTAATATGCCACATTTGCGCTTGCCACAATTTAACGATTTCCTCTAAACAGCAAATCAAAGAAGCAACAAAAAATACAAACAACAACAAAAAAGTAATAAATATCAAACAGCACACAAAAGCAAAACGTTTTTCATTTAAAATGTCGCTGATATTTAGCTGTGTTGTTGTTGTTGCTGCTGCTAAGAAGCCTTACACACTGTACACACACAAACGTAAACACAAACACTCACACACACACTTACATTTGTTAAAAGGCACTGAAAGCTTACAACGAGTTGGAGGCAAGTCAACCATCGACTCCATGAAAGTCTGCAACCTCTGTTGTTGTTACACATTGTAAACGTATACAACGTAAAGAGTAAAACAACAAAAGTCGACGCATGCGCATTACCAATCGTAAAGCAGTAATTGCTCGGGAAGCTCCGCCTCCATATTTGGCGCAGTCACGATATGCACTCTTTGCGCCACCAACATGTGTATGTACACAGGGAGTAAGTACACCGCCAGTGCTGCCAAGTTCCATATGCTTTGGACAGAAAGAACCTGTTTGCCGCTACCCACTCTCTCTTCCTGCAGCGTCTAATATACAATTTCACTGATTGCCATATAAACGGTACACAAAAAGAGGCGGAGTCAGTTCTCGCATACATACAAATCAATCGTTCGTTCGTTGTTGGTGTGGCTTCGCTGGCGTTGGTAGTGTTAAGTGTTAGTTTTGGTAATAATGTCGGCACTAAAAGGTACTCTGGTACTCTGCACTTAGTTTTGTTGTTATTACTGGCGTAGTTGTTGCTATTGCTTGTAGCAGCGCTATTACCGTAGGTTAGGGCGGAACGTCGAATATATTTACTCGCTGCTAACGAGCTCTGGGCAGCTTGATCAGGCAAATTCACAGCAGGAAGGAAGCCGTAAAACTGGTATAACGAGCCGCTACTGGTGCCAAGTCAACAACAATTGCCTGCAACAACAACCACAACAACTAAAACAACTGCAACAACAGCAACTACGCTCTTATCGTTACCAGAGGGTGAGTGTTGATGTGGCACCGGTCTCTGTGTCTTGTTATTGCTGGTGGTTGTTGGCTTTGTTATTAACGTCTGCTGCCGCTGCTGCGGCCGCCGGCGGAGAATCAAAAAGCGGAACGTTTTATTGTTACGTTGCTGCTGCTCTGGTGCGGTTGCGTTAAATCGGAACTCGCGTGCGCTCGCACAAAATCATTTCACATATAGCGGTGTTTATAACCACTGTTCAAAAGTTAATTTGCGCGCTTCTCGCCCACACAACGTATTCACCGGTATATGAACGGGTATCAGTTATAGGTGCGAAAAGCTCACTCACATATGTGTCCGCGAGTGTATGTGTGTGTGTTATAAACCCCTGCCATAGTTTACGCGTTTGGCGTTGACAGCTCTTTTTGTCTTGACACAAAACATTTACGCGGCTCACACTACACGCTCCACGACGAGCTACAAGGCGGCACCGCAGGGCATGGCACGGCAGACTGGCTATTTTTGTGAATCGGAAAGTTCAAAAGCGTTTAAGCGCTTGTAGTGACGCGTTATGTTAATGAAAACTGCAAATTGAATTTCCCACGGATTAACGAAATTAAATGGCACTCGAGTGAAGAAACGCTAAAAACAAGAAATAAACAAACTAAAAGTGAAGAAAAAGTGTGGTGTAATTAAAAAAAATATATATATTTATATAAAAAATTAAATATTTTTTAAGGCTTAAAATAATTTGAAAAAGGTTAAGAATTAAGGCAAAGATACTTCGCAAAATTTGCATTTGCAATTTTCCACACAAATCACTGTAATCAATAACAAAAAGTGCGGTTTTCTTCATTTACGCGTGAAATCGAATTAAATTGGCGCCACACGTCACCATGTCATCGCCACACGAGCATGAGGATGAGGAACGCGATGATGTGGAGGAGGAACAGGAGATTCATGTGGACGTCGATTCGGATTCACGTATATCCTGCGGTAGTGGCTCTGAAGTGGATATGGAAGGTGGCAGTTGTTACGATGAAATGGAAACTCCACTCAGGTAGGGATTTGTCGAATCGGTGAACTGATTTTAGAATATTTAAAGCAAGATTTGTTAGTTCTTTTTTTTAATTTACAGCGAGCAGGTAGCAGCAGTAGTCAGAGCCAAAATATTTTAAAATTTTAAGCACATTTTTCTTTTCTCTGAGAATACTCTTGAAATTAATAATAGATTCTGAAACAAAAGTATAAGAAATTTTACTAAATGCTTCCACCGCTGTAGCCAGAAAATATACGCTCGGATGTGTTGGCATTACCAAATCCTAAGCATAATCGCAGGGTATACGCCTCTTCACTGTAGCTCGACTCCGAACGGATGATCGTTGGCCGCACAGGGAGTATTTGGCCTCAGACCGAAAGTCGTGAGCTGCTTGAACCAGATGCAAATGAAACGTATGTGGCCCCGGGAATGATAGTCAAAAACTATCCACTTTTGCCTCAATCTCTACATGACTCGCCTCTGGCTACAGTCGCGTAAGCGGTGACTACGCCAATGAAGAAGAAGTAATGGACGGAGCTGAGAAACGACCCTAGTTGTACAAAATTTTAAATGTTAATTGGTCATACCAGGTTTGAGCCCAAACCCTCCGCTTAACAGCTCGACCAGAAGTGTGCTCGAATAAACCAATGGTTTTGATAGTTATTAAATGCTACTCAAATCCAGATTTGAATCTATTTATGTATGGTCCTCTGACTAAAACACCATCCCAATTTGGCCACTGCACTAGAAAAGGGATTGTCCGATAATAATCTTAAAGGGACTAGTACAATATAATTGCCGCTTTGCAGCCGCTAAGGAGATTTTCGAACGAGTTTCGCCCCCAACTTGTTGTGCACGTCTTAATGTCTTCCCAATAAAATGGAGAAACCTACAGTTCACACTAAGCCGCCTCCGAATGTTTCATGGTTTTTCATGAGGGGGCTTTATTTCATGTCAGAAATACACTCAGGCACAATTTTTGATTGTTGGTCGAACCTGAACTCGATCTGTGGTTTTCCAATTCTCAAAACTAAAGCTTCGGCTACCGCGGTCGGCAGTAAATATCAAAACAAAATAACGAGTTGACGTGAAACCTACGGCTGATCCCAGGAGTATCCGAGGAGTATCCCATATAGACACATAAGGCACATATTATGTGATTCCATAAATCGTAGATCTTTCGGAATGCTAACCATTCCACACTTAGTAAATCTTTAAGTGTGCGTCACTAGTAAGAAAGTACGCTTGGCATCAACCACTCGCATTTGCTACCGGTAATTTCATTCGCGGCATTTTTAAGGCCAGTTTTTGAGAAAGAGCATACATAATTCTTTCTCATATGGTTTTAGGATGTAAAAGAGATTACCTGGATAGAAATATCTCACTGCTAACTATGAAGAAGTGCTAGCCCAACACTCGCTGAGGTCTACAGCATATATTCGTATTGAGAGGGGAACCTCTTTTTATAATTTGACTGAATAAGAAAGCGATGCAAATAGATCTAGTAATGAACAAGAACAAGATGCCATACCTCCGTCAATAAACAGCCAGCGAGTTCACGTCTTAGTTCCTACGTCACTGTTAACAGTCATAACTTTGAAGTCGTAGATAATTTCGTCTATCTAGGAACCAGCATTAACACCAATAATATATCAGCCTGGAATTTTAATACAGAATCACACTTGCCAAGAGGTTCCACTTTGGACTGAGTGAACTGGAGGCCTGCACGATGGCAATAACTGTTGAGTTGGTTTGAGGAGTTTCGGAGAGAATGCTTTAACTATTGTAGGCACTTGAAAGAAACCGGGAACTAGGTTTAATTTGGTTCCTTTTTTGACGGTTGTTTTCTTTATTGGTTGTGAAGATTCCATCATCTTGGAGTATAGCCACGAAAAGCTAAACTGAAATGAAAACGAAATCGATCAGGTGATCACAGCTGTGCGCTCAAGCTGGAAAGGAATTTTCCCTACTTTGGAGGTTGGACAATGGGTTAAAGTAGCAAAGGTGTTCCATTGTCTAAGATATCACCTGACTTGAGATTCTGACCGATTTCATACGCCTTTTTTTCTCCTGACTCTTTCGGCCTTTTTGTTGTTGTAATAAGGACAATGCCTCCATCAGCACTTTTAACAAATATAAACATATTTGGTCGTCTTTTCACGTTTTCTGATAAGTGATTTTCAGAATGTTTATTTCCTTTCCCTTTTTCACTATTTCCCTACCTACCTACCACCCACACTCTCAGAGTAAGGCCTAATGGCAAAATTATGCTTATTTAAATGCTAATAAATTGCAACAACAACAATTTAAATACTTCATAAATACCTGTATAATTTGTAAATTTACTAAATAAATTAGTTTGTCAAATAGCGAACGAGTTGAAATGAAGAGAGTGAAAAAGCATAAACTAGCGAAGCTTTGAAGCAAAGCGCGCCACTTCTGCCCGTTAAACCGCATTCTCGGTTATTAAGTTTGTCTAAAGCGACGGTAGATAATGATCATAGTTATGTATTTGACACCGTTTCTTCTCAGTGGAGCGCTCAACCGTTATTACGAGGGTGTCGCTTGTTTTAACCAAGCTGTGAAGTAACAAATTTTCTTTAATTTAGTATGAAAATTTAGCATTTTTAATCGGCTAACGTGAGTGTTAGTAAAGAATAAAAATACCTGATGGCCTAAATGGGATTAGGTTGTAGAGCTGCTTCAGAGACTCATGTATTTCACACTGACAGAATCAAAGAATGGATATTGTAGTAGGCTAAACCCCTACCTACTTGACCCCAATATACTCAACTTATATGCTGTATGCAATTAAGCCACGTAAAGTACCAGCCACTTCTTTGCATGCCCCTCAAACTTACTAACCTAACCCCCTTTTGCACTTGTCCGCACCCGTCGAAACAGATCGTTCCTGTACCTCTTGTTATATGATCCCTACAATTTAGACTAGTCTCCTCTAGATTGGTTGGAGACCCACTAAAACAACTACAACAACAACGGAATTTCATATAAAAAATATTTTTATTTTTAAAGAAAAGCTGGAAATAATAGACTCCATATCTTTGAGAACTAGAGATATCTCAGTCACTAAGTGATGTGAAAGAAAAAAAAACCCTAAATTGGAAATAGAATTCCGCAAAGTTTTGACGTCACTATAACAATCGCAGTGTCTCCAAATTAAGCAGCTCCGTTCCTAACGGTATTATTTTAAGAGAAGGATGAGAAAAATCTATGAAGACTATAAACAGTATACTGTTTGAAGAGATGCTGCTGCATTGCTGTAGATCGTAGATAAAGAAATCTCTTACTTTAATAAAATCCTGTTCGTGGAATTCTTTAAAGTTACCGCACTGCAAGCAATGTTTCTGTAAATTTAAAAGCGAACGGACAGGTTGAGTTGGTGAGTGGGAGATTACTCTTCTGGTATGTAAAATTTCTTTGTCGCATTTTTTCGGATTTCTTCTTTGTGGCCAAAGGCGAGTGCAAGCAATTTACCGGTTTTTCTCTTCTTTGCATTCTTTTCCCTACACCAAGAGATGAAGTTTTCCACTGATCGGAGCGGCCTTGTTTCCAATACTCATTAATTGAAGGATGCCTTGCCCACTACAGAAGCAACTTGGACTTTCTAGGAAACAAGTCGCAGAAGATTATAACAAAAGTTTCTTTGAAAACACAAAACTTTTAGTAATATTTAGCCACCATACATGAAAGTATACAAGAAAGATGTCGTCCAACTAATTTTCCTTGATAACACCATGCAAAATCAATAAATTGGTGTCAAAAGCAAAACAAAACTAAACCAAAAAAAAAATGCGAAAATCGTGACCACTTAAAGTAAACGATGCATGTTTTGGCATTCGCTGTGTAAAATCATTTATGAGAGAGACCAGGGACGGATTGAGGCACAAAAGGTTGGCTGGCCGGATATTTTTATTTTTATTACTTTGAAACGATTATCATCAGCGGTTTTTCGTTAAATAAATAAATAAATTTTGTTTGTTTTTTTTTTTGTTTTTTTTTAATAAGGTTTTATGGAATTCCTAAAACAGGATCAATTACCTTCCAAAATAAACCAAAAATCTTTGTTTAGCAGCTTAAATTATATTACGATGTTTGCCTACTGAATGATGCGCTGTGCGCCCTTTGGATTTGTGAGGCATTTTTCGCGCGAGTCCTTAAATCCAGCCCATACTTCGCTGCATATACTTGAATATACAGATGAATTAGTAAAGGGTTTTCCATTTCAAGGTTTAAAAAGTACAATGTTGTATTTTGATATGTGTCAATCTTAGCTGTCGAGCCGAATTTCTTTTGCTTTAGTTAAAATTCAAGAATTTATGAAAATGTTTGATGATTCAAGCGAGTCCACAACTCAACTACCCAAGCAATTGGTGGAATTTTAAAGAAATTTGAAAAGACTAAATCAGTTGCAGATATTGTTGGGCTTGAGCATCATACTTTTGCTCGTTACACCTCAAATATCGCTACTGCAGGCGAAAGTGTCGTCGAGGACCCGAATCTGTATTTTTTCGATGTTCCCATGGGGTGGGATTTTCTTACGGCACATTATGACATATTTTGCACTTGGACTTGCACCTACATTCATATGAAATCCAGCTCATACAACTACTGAAGCCAGCTGATCATACACAACGCCGTACATACGTCGATTGGGTGCTTGAACAGCAAACAGTGGAGGGATTTTTTTCTAGCAAAACTTTCTTCAGCGACGAGGCACACTTATCACTCGGCGGGAGCATACGAAAATAGAAGAATTGTCGTATTTGGAGCTCTTTCGATAATTGAAGAGAGGCCGTTGCACAAAAACAAAAACTTACTGTCTTCTGTCAGGAGTTGTTATTGGACCCTACTTATTTGAATGTGGCAACGGCGAGACTGTCTCGTCAATTCGGAGCGTTATGGTCGTGTGATAGCCAACTTTTTTTGCCTCCATATGAAGTGCACAACTTGCTCAATATGTAATTTCAACAAGATGGCTCCACATTTTCCACATCAAGCTTTATTGTGAGAGAAATTTCCCGATCGCGTAATCTCTGGTCTTAGCGGTCCGATGTCGCTTGGCCACAGAGATTGTGCGATTTGACACCTTTGACATCCCACATTCTTTAAATTATGGCTGAGACACCGTCGGAAATGTGCCAAATACTTCAAAATCATCGAAATTTGCGAAAACTCAGACTTTATAGTAAATAATAAATTTCCAAAAAAAAAAAAAAGATTTTTTTAAATACATTTTATCTACATTTATTTTCGAAACCCCAAAATGTATAGCCCTGTATAACGTGTTTACAAGCACTGGGCGACAACTTCTTATACTCATTTGTACCTTATTAAATAATAAATGTACATACTTACATACAAACATATACATATGTGTGCATGTATGTATGTATGATATTTGATTTCCATTTTAAATTAATGAGTTTTACAAAGTGTCACTGATAAGAACACGAATATGAAAGGTAGTTTAATTCCAAAGACTACTTCGGATTGCCACAATAAATACTCGAATATTCGCATATTCACTCATACATACATACACATGTATGCATGTAAATATATATGTATACACACTCGTATTTATTAATTAAGAATTGAGAAAAGAGACTGGGGGCCCACGCAAGGCACGACACATAGCGTCGTTGATGATTAGGCAACTGAGTTGAGTGTGGACAACAACAAAACCACAAATAATGTCAACAAATGTCCAAATGACCAAATGGCCAGCAGTCAGCCGACAGCATTAGTAATCGCCAGCAACAACAACAATCCGACTGACAACAACTTTGGCAATGTCAATCGAAAAAATGCGAGTGCGAAACATGAAAAACGCGCGTTTATAAGCAAATATTCGTGTGAATTTTTTGATTGAAAAAGAAAAAAAAAACAACGAGAAAAATAAACCAATTAATGCAAATAAAAGCAACAACAACAAGATATTGGAGTTTCAAGTTATGCGTGACTATTTAAATGTGACGTGTTCTTTTGTGGGCAGAATAAAAAAATAGTAAAAATTTTAAGTGGCATAATGCGATTTGTTTTTGAATTTTAAACATATTTCAAGACACGAAGAGGCAGTTTAGCATTGAGAAGAGCTTACGCGTTTTTTGAGAATGCCTGATATTTATAAATTTTTTTTTTTCGAATGCAAGCAAAGTTAGAACGTTGCTATCACACCGTCATAACTCCGAGCCGACTTCCGAAAGTCATCGGCTTTTCATGCGCGATGGATTTTTTCGCGCGATCATAGCTCTTGTTGAATCTCGGGTCGCAGTTAAAAGAGTAGAATTTTCAGTGAGGACGATCACATATATTGGGCTTAAGGGTTCGCTGATCTCTGATTGCAGGGTCCGAAGTAAGGGTATCTCCATATTCATATGTAAATGTGTTCCACTCGACTGGAGAGATTGTGTGTCGGGCTTTTGACTTGTCAAGAGGAAACCAAATCGAAATGAAAGAATTACCAAGGCCTCTAATAGACATATTCCCTTCTCTATAATCGTACTCAGTATCAATCACATTTGCCTTGAAAACAAAAACCCCAGTTTTCTTCAATATATACAACATCTCGGAATTTACTTTCGATAAAAGTTATCCAATTTCTGCTTATAAGATGATAGGAAGTATTCATTCTAAGAACTTTTGCTAGGCACAAATCTATTTGGAAACCATATAAATCTTAAAAGAAGAGAATTAACTTATCACAGTCGAGGGCGGAGCACACTCTATGGACTATATTTCTTTCCGACATAGCAATTCTGATCAGTAAGCCCATACAAATCTCCTACTGAAGCCTTGGAGTGAGTGATGTTTGTATTGATAGTATTTATTTGAGAACTACCATCCCGGTGTACATTTGACCCAATTGGAACGATGCCCCAGCCTTAAGCAGATGGTTACGCATGGTTGGCAGAAACTAAAACAATTCCCAAAATCTAGTGAACTGTTCGCAAACGCATAGTTAGTATAAGCGGTGGAGCAAAAAGAGCTTACTCATTGGATCCAGTGCGACCGGTTGCGGTGAGGTCTTCGGTCTCCCGTTTCGACCAGCCAACCATTGAGCCAACAACCAAAGCTGTTTGTTAACTTACTTACATACTTTCTTTACCGGAGTAGACACCACTTACGCGATTTTAGCCGAATTTATAGCATCGCGCCATTCATTCCTTTTTTCGCTGCTTGGCGCCGATTGGAGTTACCAAGTAGACTCAGGTCCCTCTCTACCTGTTTTTTCAACTATTTTATATATTTTCAACAATTGAAATATTGAAAACTCTATTTCAAACATGATTCATCAAAAATTCACCTTACATTTCCAGCGAATCAGTGCAATCGGAACAAACACGTTCATCGTCCAGTGAAAATTTACCCTTTAGCATATCACGCCTGCTGTCGAAACCCTTCGAGAATAATAACAAACAAAGTCCCGAGAAGGACATACACAGTGAACATGAATTGGCTGCCTACAAGTTGGCCACAAGTATAGCAACATCAACGTATGGTGGCGCCACAGCACTTTATACCTATCCGCATTTGTATCCCACCGCAGCTGCGGCAGCCGCTGCCGGACATGTACTGCGTGTACCACCGCAACGGACCCCATTAACTTGGGCGCTGCCGCCTTTACACCATGCCGCTTTGGCACATCAAGCGGTCAAGGACAGATTGGCAGGTGAGTTGGTCAAAACACATACGACACACACATATGTACATACAAACATTTGCATGGTTAATAAATATTATTTAATAATAAAAATGAAGGAAAGAAGTAGAATAAAGACTTCCATAAACTTGTGTATTAACAAAAGAGCTTCCGTTTCACCACTCTCACAGCGGCTTACTCGAGGGTACTCAATGTGCATTACAAATTTTTTATTTTTTTTTTTAACAATTTAATGATCCATCAAAATCGTTACGAACATTGAACATTTTGTAACCGACAAACTTGTTGGGAGGCGAAATGTTGTAGGCTCTGTGGGGTGTCTGTTCGAATGTTGGAAACATTTATGGATTGGTTTTGTTCTTGTTGTTAAGCGGAATTGTGTCAAGAGGATGAGAGTTCTTGCCCGCACATGTGTCTCCTGAGCTGCTATAAAGGAAAGTGATTTGCAAATTTAAAAAAATATATATATACAGATATACATATACAGATAAGGCGTCTCTTCATGAAAGCATATTCAGGCATTTTTACGGAATTTCTTCATTCAGTAGCATCATAGTCACGTAATTTTTCATCGATCCCATTTTTCTTCTTTACTGACATAGACACCGCTTCTGTGGTCATAGCCGAATCAATAATAACGCGGCATTTATCCCTTATTTTCATGGTTTGGCGTCAGTTGGAAATACCAAGCGAAACAAGGTCATTCTCTACCTGGTCTTCACAACAGGGTGGAAGTCTTCCCATTTCTCTGCATCAACCGGTGGGTACTGCATCGAAAACTTTCAAAATTGGAGTATTCTTATACATCCCGACCACAAGACCTAGCCAGCATAGCCGCTATATCCTGATTTGCGGGACTTGTCAACGTTACCGTATATCCCGTACAACTCATCTTTCCAGCAGCTGCGGTATTCGCCGTTTCCAACTCGTCGAAGACCATAAATCTTACCCAAAACTTTTCACTCGAAAACTCCTTACGCCGACTCATCAGATGTTCTCGTCGTCCATGCCTCCGCCTGCCTCCACAACTTGTAAAGTTCGGTCTTTATTCGTCGATAGAAGACTGTACTTTTCAATTGCCTGCTCAGTCACAAGTAGCACGCGTTGGTTAGAGTGATTCTGCGCTGGACTTCCAAGCTAACATTGTTGTTGGTGTTAATACTGGTTTCAAGATAGACGAATTTATCTGCGACTTCAAAGTTATTACTGTCAAACGTGATGCGAGACTGCATGATTGATGACAAGAGATGCTTCGCTATCGCGCTCGTTCACTAGACCTGATCTCTCTTCCTTATCTAGTCTTCTTCTTTTTGCGGCCGCAACACACGAGTGGTTAGCATTGCGTACTATACGTTCGGAAAGCCAGGAATCGTGTCCTGGTTCGCCCAACATCGAAAATTATGAAAAATTAAGTCGACGGGGATATTTCTGACATGATATAAAAGCTCATCATAAAAATCCATCGGCCGAGCGTAGGCGGCTTAGAATAAACTGTAGGTTCCTCTTTTTGTTGGAAGACGCATACCCCTAATTGGAGCTCGGCCGAAATCGCTTCATTGTTAGCTAAAGAGCAATGACTTTCTTGAGAGCATCTCAGACTTACTGCGTCTCACTTTGGCACATCGCATATTTTAAAAATATTTCCAATAGAAAGAAAGTGAAATGGTGAGTTGTTCTGCTGTAGTGGCTAAATTAGTATGGGTAATCACCCGCCAGACTTTCGTGACCTGCTGGCAGCGGCAAAAGATACGGATGACTGGGTTAAAGTACTGATGCTTGCGGCCAAAGCGGTACGCACTATATTCATAGAAGATCCTTAATTGAACTAAGGAGGGACGCGGTTCACTGCTCCCAACTAGAGGTGAGAGGTAATTTAGCTGCAAAACTCTTGTAGTATCTTCCGAGCTGAAATATTTGTTGTTTTAGGAATTTACTATATAGTTGTGCAAGCTAGAAGACGCTTTAGGGTGTCCTCAAAGAAAGGGTTTTTGAAATTTTTGCTATCAAGAGGGCGGACAGAAGTTGAATACATATTAACGTAGATAGCCAATCGAATTTTTGAAAAAAGGATCTAAAATCCGAAATTTGGAACTCTGCATACTTTTGTTGAATTATAAAGGCGGAAGATAACTGACCGAAAGGAGCTTAGAGGAGCTTAGAGGAGATCACGAGATATGTGTTCCTCGAAAAGAGCGCACATGTCCAAAGTAGTCGGAGTTCTGAGATGACAACACGCGGAAAGACTAAGGGCTTCCCGTAGAAGATGCTGCAGAAGCTGCAAGTATGATGTGGAGGAGGAGTCGATTACCATCTCTTATGCAACTGTCCTGCTTTGAGGAGGTCTAGGTTTCGGATTTTTTTTATATAACTGAATGGTCTATCGAAGTTAGCCGACGTGCGAGTCATAGATCTAATGCGGTTCATTAGATAATAAAACCAGAATAGTCAAGTTTTTGTGGCATCACAAAGGGTCTTAGATGGATTGATGCGTATGGAGGATGTACATCGTGCCCGGCGGTCTATTGTGTCCGCCGGTTCTTTCACATTACATCAATCAGTCCCAAAGCCCTCCATAAAACCTAGTATGCTTAAAGGTTTGAATGGCTTCATGTGACTTTGCACCAACTGAATCACACTTGGTTTCAGCTCACAGAAGTGACAAGTCTCATTAAAACTCAATAGAGTCTATGCAAATACTTCCACAGCCGGTGGTGTACCGTAAGAAATCCTGTTTGTATTCTTAAGTTATTCTTGTTAATTACTATTATGTCTCTAAATCTTCCCGATTTGCACCCGCCCATGAGGTTTTAGTCAGGCCTAAGTGAATTCGATACGATAGATCGTTAGCCACCACAACCCAACCTAACCTACTTGAACTTATAAATTTAATCGAAAATAAATTACAGTAAAATGAAAATTAATAATCGAATTTAAGGCACCATTTAAGACTATGTTGCGTTTGACTTGCTCAATCCTCCTTCTTGCCTCCTGCTACAATACACACATATAAAATTCGTTTATATGCAATTTGAAATCTTATTAAAAATAAAAAAATTACGCCGTGCCACAAAAAGTATAAATATGCTTGTATGTATGTATGTCTTCCTAGAGCATTTTGAATAAAATGGCTGTAAAGACGTCAACATTAATCACAAAGCAGCCTCTGCGCAAGAAATCCTCCTCATTTACTTGAATGAATTCCTGTTTGTTTGTTATCAGTGTCTCAGCGTAAAAGCTTTTTCCGCACACAAAGACCACCAGCTGGAATTTGACAAATGAATATCATTCAATTATCACATTATGCAGCATCAATGACGTTTGCTTGGCGTTGAAAGACTCAGCCTACTGGCAGCACAGAGAGAGAGAGAGGAAGGAGAGAGTAAAAAGTTGTCAAAGAGCAGACATTAAAAACAGAAACTTAAAAAAAATTTTAAATGTGGATTTCACTTTAAAATACTAATGCACTGCTGCAGCGATATACTCAAATGTGAGTCTGTATGAAAGTTCATAGAATAACAGCAACAACAACAAATCAAATCACAATAATAATACTAATAGTAGTAGCAACATTAAAAAATTGCTACAAAAAATGTGCAGAGTTGCTACTGTATTTTGAATGGCACTCCACTTATTGCCGCCCTCAGTGTTAACAACAATAATAACAACAACTACTGTAGTCATCAAGCTAATGCCTCAGCAGCATTAACATGATTGCTATGAGGCACGCACACTTTTCCTTGAAAGCATGCATGCCACATCGATCTTACAAAACGGCGTGTTGAAATTGAAAGCAACAACAAAAACAACAATAACAGTGACAATAAAAAATTGCGCGCCACAAACAAAAGCCGCAAGGAGTTGGGCCATAAAAAAACGAGCATGGCAAATGTTCCTCGAGAAAAGGATGATTTTTGTTGCTGTTGCACGTATCTTCAACGCACACATAGTATCTTCATGCAGCATATATACATATGTACATATGTACATACGTAAATACGAGTTTATGTATGTATATACTGCTTATGAGCTCATGCAGGGGGCGGCGTGTTTTCCTCGGCATACTAAATGGTGGCAACGTGTCACACAACTTCCACACTTCCATGTTCGCTACACATGGGCATGTGCCTCTGGTATGTGTCTGCGCTTCTGGTGCTGATTATCATTTTGGCTACTGTTTCGAGCTGCTCAGCTGCCCCTGCTGCCCTACACAGCCGCTGCTTTTGATAGCGCGACTCGTACAAAATCAGTTTGGGTTTATTTGTAATTGTTGTTGTGGTTGTTGTTGTTGTTTTATATTTAGCAGTTGCAAATTTAAACGGCTTAAGTATAAAAGCATGTTCGCCTTTCAAACGTTCTCAACTACTACATTCGCCACTATCGCCAATTGAGCCGCACGATGAGCTCACCGCCCAGAAGTGGGTACTTGCTGTTGCGTTGTGGCCGCATCTCTCATTGCTTGCGGCCGCAGCCTCATGGCAGTTTGTTGCTGAATTTACATATTCACAATAATGATTGTGTGCGCGTTAAGTATTCATTTTCAAGTATATCCGATTTCCTTTCCGTCGTTTGTAATGTTCACTTGAGGATCGGTGATCACGCCGAGGTTTCCTTGGCTTTTGCTAATTTGTTTACATTATGCGCTTCATTTGTAAGCGTAGTGCGATTCGTGTATTGCCACAGGCAAATTAAATATACAGGGTTTTGCAATGGGAGGAATTACTATGGCGATGTGAACGTGGGGTTAAATAAAGAGAATAATTAAAAATGAGGTGGAGGAGGCATCTCTTCTTCACAGAAATACCCTGTACTTTATACACATGGTTTGTAGAGATTTTTCTAATGCAAAGCTAAAAAGACTTTTGTAATTTCTTGACTTCAAGTACAAGCGAACTGTAACGCAATCAGATTGAATGCAACTCAACCTTGGAAGAATTGCAGTATAGAACACGCCAGAATATTTTCTCTTTCAGAAATGCCAAAGGAGCTGGACTAAACCACCTTCGTCAATC